TGATAATATCTATTTGTTTGTATCTTCATCAATTTTGGGTATTTTAGTATTAAAATATATTTATTAATTTGAAAAGGGAAAATGGTGTCTCATTTTTTAAAAATTTTCATATTTTTATTGCTAATGAAATAACTTTTCATATTATTATTGGCATTTTGTTTTTCTTATATGATAAATTGTTCATTCATGTCTTATTCCTTTGTCTGTTTTAAAAAATAATTTAATGAGTTTATATGCATAAATTATATTCCATTTTTGCTTCTCTTACACGTTGCAAAATTTCCCCATTTTGCCTTTGCCTTGCTTCTGGTAAAATATACATCCTCACACACACACTTAAAATATATTTTTATAAATATATTTTTTAGTTGTCAATGGACCTTTACTTTATTTCTTTAGATGTGGTGCTGAGAATTAAACCCAGTGCCTCACAAATGCTAGGCAAGCACTCTACCATTGAGCCACCACCCCAGCCCCTAAAATATTTTTATTTTATAATTTTGGATTTCATTTCACCTTTAAAAATTCTATCCCTACCATAATGTAGAATAAATATTCACTTCTTTCTTCTAATAGTACTTTGATGCACTAGAGGAAATGAACTTGGGAATTTGAGATAGAATCAGAGGGTTCAGCTGACAGGATGTGTGGGCAATATAGAGGGAGGAGTCAAGTGAGTTTTCAAGCTTCATAGTGTGGTAAGGGTGGATCCACCGACCCCAAACCAGGAATACAGGAAAAGGAACGAGTCTGTTAGGACAGATAATAAGTTCAATTCTGTACATGTTTTAGTTGCAATGTCTGCCAGAAAGCCTGATAGAAATGCCCAGCAGGCAGTTTGTAACCAGGGTATGGAATGAATGTAGGTGTAATGTTGGGGTTTTAAGTACAGCTGTGGAAATCAGCAGACATTTGTTAGTTTAACTTTTATTTTTTGGTGGATATCCTGGGCCAAGCACTATGCTAAGCACTTTAATGCACTGTTAGTCTTCCAAACAAATTTGAGGTAGAAACTAATGCCATCCTCAATTTACCCATGAAGGACAAATTTATAGAAGTTAAATTTCTTTACTAAGATCTTATAACTGGGAAGAAGAAGATTTTGTGAAATCAAAAATTCACCAGATTTCAGAGTTGAATTTCTAGTCTAAATTACTGTATTGTCACAGGAGTGGGTGAGTGCAAGCAGAGAAAGTCCCATTCCAAAGATGGAAAACAAGAAAATTACATATGAATAGGAAGAACAGTAAGTTGCAGTGAAAGGTCTATGAAGGTCACAGGGTATAGGTGGAGAGCCATATATATTTTAATGCTCTGACCAGAATGAATGCATTTTGATGGTAGAGGCTTATATCTTATACTGTCACCTGGATAAATTTGAGAACCTTTTTTTGACCTTGGTCCTCAAAAAACCAGCCAACCAACCAAAACAAAAAATTCCTTTTTGGTGCTTTGCATATAAATATTGCTGGGTTGATGGTCTTCATTTTATGGCAACTTTTATCCTTCTGAGTTAGGCCACACCAGTCCTTATGTCATCACCTATGTAGGCTAGGGACTTATGCACTGGAGATCCTTGGTATGACACTATTACCTTCTCTGGGAGCAACAGAAATAGACTCTTGGTCTACTAGAAAAATAGACTCTTTATTAGAAAAAAAACATGGATTTAGAAATTCTCATTTTGTCACATCATATATGTGACTTTGAGGAGAAAATTTAAATTATTTTAGCCCTATTTCCTTCATTATTTAAAGTGATACATGCTTCAGGGTGGTTGCGAAGATTAAATAAATTTACTAAAATCAAAGGGTACCCAATACAAGGAAGTTGAAGTTCTACTACACACAAAATCATTTTGCTCCATATTTATCTTAGTTGCTTGTTTTTCAAGACAACAGAGAAATGAAATTAACCTGACAAACATATTTATTGTTAAAGTAGTGATTTAGGAGATTTTTCAAATGTTCCTGTTATTTGTAGATCTCATTTGTGATCGCTAACTCTCGCTTCAGGAATGAATGTTCTCAAGGACATTCCTTGCTTGTTCCTGTTGTTTGGCGTAATCATTAAAATGTCTCCTATTACTTTCAGGAGGCTCAGTTTGGATAAATTATATGGTCATTTCTTAGTATGTCTTTATTGAAAAATAAAGGCCCATCTATTTTAGGACATATTCCTTGTAGAAAAAATAGTTTACCTTTCCTACAAAAAAGCCTATGGGACCCTATCTTGCAGTCATCTGTTTTATTACACATTCCTTGTAGAAAAATTGAAGAAAAATTAGTTTACCTTTCTTACAATAAAGTCTACAGAGCCCTATCTTGCAGTCCTTTAAGTATTTCTTTGATGCAATAATTAAGACCTCACGCAAGCTAATAAATAACTCCCTATGGCTCTCTCAATGGCAAAAGCAAATAAGGTAATTTCACAGAAGCTCACCTATAGCACTGGGAGGGAAACTTGAGAGATTGTCCTTTCAGGTTTATATTTGCAAAGCAATTTCCAATCATTTTAATTAATTTTTCCACTTTATAAGTGCAAGCATATGTATGCACATTGGATATCATAGGAATGAAGACTTAGAGAAATATGATGCTAGGCTTTCTGGGATACCACTCCAGGTTTTAATTCTGAGAAATTTGTGGTCGTCTCACATACCTTTTACAGAATTGAATCATCTGTCTTTCTGTTCTTCAGGAGAAGGTGTGCTGTGGTTTAGCAATATAAGGGTAGTGAAAATGTCAAAACATTGCCAGAGATGCTTGGGGAGCTACAGTGGAAGACAGGCTTGCAGGGTGCTTTTTTATTATTATTATTATTAGTGGTCCAAAACATTACAAAGCTCTTGACATATCATATTTCATACATTTGATTCAAGCAGATTATGAACTCCCATTTTTACCCCGTATACATATTGCAGATTCACATGGGTTACACATCCACTTTTTAACATACTGCCATACTGGTGTATGTTGTATTCTGCTGCCCTTCCTATCCTCTACTATCCCCCCTCCCTTCCCTTCCCCTCCCATCTTCTCTCTCTACCCCATCTACTGTAATTCATTTCTCTCTCTTGTTTTTTTCCCCTTTCCCCTCACTTCCTCTTATATGTAATTTTGTATAACAATTTCCCTTCTCTCTCTCTTTCCCTTCTCCCTCTTGGTTGCTGGGAGAAAGAGCCACTTTCAGGTTCAGAGACAGAGATTCTTTAACAAAGATTTCACTGCACTGCTAGTCCATTATGCTTATCAAATCATTTTAGTCTAAAGGATTTAAAAATATAAACTGAGAGTAATTTCTTCCCACTGTGAAAAATTATCATGAGACCTAAATGAATTCCTCTGGAAACAAATTGTACAAACTTCCTGCCTGACCAGGGAGCTTGCTCACCATTCTTGGCCAGTGTCCCTGAAAGAGTGATCTCTTTCCCTCAGAGAGGCAATGAAGCTGAAGCTTCAGGACCCTTCCAAATTATTTAAATTTAATTTTTAAATTTTATATTCATTTGCTTAAAGAGCTCCATAACCCAATTTTATAGCTTTGTGCCCAAGAAAACCTGAATCATGCCCTTCCTGTCCTTTAACATAAAAGTAAATATCTAATGTTCTAATATGCTCTAGATCAGAAGGGGAGACCAGATAAAGATGAGAATAATCCAGACTGCACCTAGATTAGGAAAACCACTTGAGGTTTGCAAAGAAGGTGGGTGGGAGGAGCTTCATCCCCAATATATTCAGGTATACAATACCTCATTTTGGTATGGAATACTTATCCTCAAGACTTGCATGCCCATCTTACTTCCTTCAAGTATTCACTGAATTGTCCCCATTTTCATAAGACTTTTCCAGGCCACTCAATACCAATTTTTTTCTTATCCCACATTTGTTCAAGCTAGGAATCCTTGTTTCCATTATTATTCCTGTATTATCCCAAGCACACAGAGCTATGCTTAACAGGGGAGGTTCTCAATGTATGTTGATTAAATGAAAAAAACAAAAAAAAAAACCCCCCAAAACCCCCCCAAAAACCAAACAAAAAACCTTTGACCTTGGGACCTAATTAAAGTGTCCAGTCCTTGGCTTCCTTAGTTGTAAGATGGAAAAAATAATGGTACTTATCTTTAAGACTTCTTGAGTGACTAAGCAACATATGTATAAAACCTGTGGCACATAGCAAATGCTCTATGAAAGCTTGATAATATTATTACTTATGATAATAAAACCGATTGATTGAATTGTCAGTGCTGCTGAGCTCTTAAGATGCTGAAAGTCATGGATGTGATTGTATTTTCAGCCCCGCCTTCTTCTTGCTAGTTCATTAACAGTAGAAAAGATGTGAAAGTGTTCAAAGTTCACATCTCAAAGCTGCTGACAGTTCACTGAGGCCTGGAGCCTGGGGAGCTCAGAGGAATTGCCCAAGATCTCTCTACTCAAAACCAGGGGCCTGCAGGACCCAAATCCTGGTGTTGTGCCTCCTAATATTGCATTCTCTGTTGCCTCTACGCTCTAAGTGTGGGGTGGTGATGGAGCCCTGTGTCCTTGGGAGACCTGGGTTCACCTAGGTCTTTCACTGGCTCATCTCTCTCATAGTACATTTTTTTTTTTTTCCTCCAGGAGATAGGGATTGAACTTGGACCTCACGCGCTAGGGGAGTGCTCTTCCACTGAATTACATTCCCAGCCCCCTCACAGTGTGGTATTTTTTGTCACTCAATTTTCTCGCAGGCAAAACATAGAAAATAAAATCTACACCTGAAAGGTTTGTGCCTGGCATCAAAGGGGAGAAAAAAATCTCTGTGGAAACTCTGAAGCACAGTACAAATAAATGCAGCAACAGGCAATAAGACGCGAACCCGAGTAGCTCCTGTCTCCACCCTTCTCCAAGACCGCGCAGTAGGAAGGAGGATTAACCTCAGGGGAGGAGTTCCGCCCTACGCCCCCGCCCCACCGCGGACGCCTCTCCCCGGCTCCCACACTTGAGCTACGGGTCTACTCTCCCGCGCCCAGCCCAGGCTGTGCTTCCCCGGCCAGGCACTGCACGGCGGGCCGGCCGCCAGCATGCAGGCCCCGCACAAGGAGCACCTGTACAAACTGCTGGTGATCGGCGACCTCGGCGTGGGCAAGACCAGCATCATCAAGCGCTACGTGCACCAGAACTTTTCCTCGCATTACCGAGCCACCATAGGCGTGGACTTCGCGCTTAAAGTGCTTCACTGGGACCCGGAGACAGTAGTGCGCCTGCAGCTCTGGGACATCGCAGGTGAGAGCCTGGGATGGTCGGGGGCGGGCGGCAGCGCCTGGAAGCTGGTCTCCAGTCCCAGGACAGCGGCCCTCAGCCAAGAATAAGATCCAGATCAACAGGGCATTCCTGGCGGTTTGGAAACTTGTTCTCAAAGACAAGAAAAAGTTTTTTTTTGCTCCAGCTGAAACTTCAAGTGCGTTCGGTGGCGTTTTATTTTCCCCTGATGTCTCTCCAACTCAGAACAGGCCACTGCTGGCACCCAGAGTGAGAACCTCAGCAATCGCTTTAGGTGGTTCTCTTCTCAAGTTTGTTTTCTGGGCCGATAGTCTTACTGGTTAAGCGGCTCAGAGTACCACTTAGGCCCTTGTGTCTGAGCTGACCCAGGGAAGCCCCTAGCCGAGTTAATAGAAGCAAATGGGATAATATGAAACTATCTGGAGTTTGCCCATTCCTGTTTTTAACAGCTGGCTTTATTCCCAATTTCAACACCCTGCTTTCTGTCCTTCAGTCAAGGGAGTTTGTGATTCTTTGCTTTGTATTTATCAGAGGCAAATTAATGCCCCAGTCTCCCATCTCAAATTTTTTTTTAAAAATATATCTCTGTCTTTATATAATCTATAAAAAGCTTTATATGTATTTTAAAGCAACACTTATGTCAGGGTCTATGACATTAGGCATAAAATTTCTTGATTTGGCCTTAAAGTTGTCTTTTGAAAGATATGTAAATGAGACCCTTTTAATTTTTTGTTGTTGTTGTTTTACAATGTTTGAAATCAGTATTTGACAATGAGAGTTTATACTTGGACTTAAATGTAATCAAAAGTGAGAATGCGAAATGTCTACTCTAAGAGTAAGTCTTGGACTAAGAATATATGCAATCCTGGCATGTCCAATCTCTTATTACAGGTTCTGGCTCTGCCACTCATTAACCTGCTCAGTGGCTTTGGACAACTCCCTTCAGTTCCATTGCATCCTTATTAAATAGAGAGGGGTTGGACCATGATGGCTCAGGAACCTTCCTGCTTAGAAGTTTTAAAGTCCTTGAACTTCTCCATGAACCGCTTCAAATAGTCCTACTCCATCTCTGACTGTTTCATTGTCTGGAGTACCAGGAACTTTCTTTATAAGTGTTGCACCCAAATATTCCAATCCTTTTTAAGAAAACAGGTTAATTTCAGCTGTTGCTAGAAATGCTGTTTTGTGGCCTGAAGGGAAAACAAATGTGGAAAATATTTGAAAGGGCATTTCTGAGGACTCTAGTGCCTCTTTAATCATGAGCTGCCAGGTCTCATGATAAAGCTCTTGGCATATGGACAGATTCATGCATTTGGAGTCTTCAGCTGCTTTAGAAGCACAGGGGTTATCAGAGACCAGAAGATATCATCAACCAATGCTCTATTGGGTTTCCATATATTAAAATTCATTATGAGTCCGTATACCTTGTTGCTCCATGTTTTAGTGTGTGAAAACTATTCTGGGTCCCTAAGTCTCTGGACTTGGGTCTAGAAATAGCTTAGTGTTTAAAAGGAGATGTTGCTGTAATTTGTACTTCTGTTTCAAATCTAAGTAGTAGTATTCCCTCAGGCAGGTTATTGTCTGTAAATCTGTTTTCTCACCTTCACCAGGGAGATGAAAACACATAGTGTTTGTGAGCCCAAATTCCAGAATTGAACTGGCTCCTTCTAAATACTGTGTTATTTCATGAATCCTATGAGATATTAGACAAGTTCCTTAAAATCCTTGTTCTTGTCTCCTGATCAATAAATAGGGAGACTTTCTCCGAACAAAATGAAAATGAGAGATGAGCAACCAATGATGCTGGTTAAAGGTATTCATGCCTATTATCTTGGAGATCTTCAAGGGTTGCTATTATACTAGCTACCAATTTTTTTTGAGCATTTATACATGCTAAGCAAGAGTCACATGACATACATGTGCTGATCAAATCCTAATAAATTGCAATTCCTACATTACACATATATTCTGTTCCCAAACAGCCAGCATCATTTTCAGGCTTACCCATTTTACAATATAAATTTAACTCCCAAGCTGGGAAATGCCTCCTAAACCATAGTTCTAGATGAATTGGAAAGTCAGCTCTACCTATAAGGTGGTGTTCAGCACCTCAGAAGGAAGTTTCTTTTTCCCAGGGATCCATTCCCCTGTCTTTGGGAGCCTCAAGCTCAAAAGCCCTGTTAGCTGAGTTAGAGATTGACAGAAGGCCAAGCTGGGGTGGGGGAGAGCTGGGCCATGGTGGGATGGGATGGTGGGAAAATACATAATTCAAGCTGCTTAGGACTTTTGTGGGCTATGATCATATGTGAAATTCACCCTCAATTGCTCACTCAGATTGTAGTTAGTTAAGTGAACATTCTTAAAGTCATAGCTTGTCTTCCTTCATCCTGCTCAGTTATGCTGTGTGTTTAGAAATAAGAGGTAGTAGAGGATAGAAGGCCTAGTTTTAAGGGGTTGGGATTGTCCGTGAAGTAGAGAGGCCTTGCCCTAACCTGACAGGATATCAGGTATGCCTGCTATAGAGAGAATCCTTGCTCAGGTAGACTCTTGATACTTGCGTGGTTCATTGCTAAGTAGGGCCCTATTTATTCAACAAATTCCCATGATGTATGTCTTGTGTCTACCTAGATTGGCCAGTCTTATCCTGAAAGTCTCCAAAAAGTACGTTTAGGACCATGTGAAATGAGGTGATTCATACTTCAAACCCCACAAGGACAACAGTTGCCGTAGATCCCACGGAATCCATCATAGAGGAGTAGCTGAGCAGCTCTATGTTCAGAAGCTCTTGATAGAGTTACAGAAATTAAGTAACTTTGCCCAGGGCCAACCAGCTAATAGTGGAAGAGCAGGATTTGAGTTGTGCTGTCTGATTTGGCATCAAGTCATGTTCTTTGTGTCCACAGGCCCATGGATGCCTGATGTTCCATTGGCCTATGGGGGTTAGGCCCTCTTCCCTTCCCTAGTTAGGAAGTTATCTTTGCCCTCTTCTTCTTATTTCTAATAGATTTTTTTGTACTGATATGCAGAAAATGGAAAGAAATGAATGAAAATCTATTTCTGAACTAATTCTTAATTATGATGTGAATTTATAGGTTTTTCTCGTTTTACATTGACTAATTAGGAAAGAGTAAAACAAAAATTTCTCATGTGAGGCTCTCCTGTTTTATAACTCTCCAAATCCAGACATTGCAAATGCTCCATTAGCACGTTCAAAGAGAACTATATGATTTTATTTAGATTTCTTGATGTGCTTTGGGACTCAGCTACAGGAATTGGACAGTTATAGTAATAGAAACTAAAATTTCTTAAGTATTTATTTTTATAAATGTCTGGGCATATTTAATCTTCCAGTAAAATAGCTGGTTTTTTGTGGTGCTAAATTTAAAACATAACTGTTGAATCCAGTCCCCAGGTTTCTAACAGCTTTCTTATACTTCCCTCGTCTTAATAATAGAGTACGTCAGACATATTCTGAATATCTTGTAAATCATAGATACTTTAAAAATGTAACACTTGGCATTGAGTAAGCCATAAAACTTTGCTGAACCTCAGCTGGCTCATCTGATTTTATTTTTCTGTAAGATATTATTTCTTACATTGTGCATCAACTTTCATATCATTGTTTTACTGTGCCTGGGGCATAAGTAGTACATGACAATTTTTTCAACTTTTTTGCTGAGAAGACTTGTAAAGTTACCTATCCTCTATGCCTTGGTTTCCTGTCTGTAAAATTGAGACGATAGACCTTACATTTCTTAGAGTAATGATAAGAGTTAAATGAGCTAATTCTTGTAAGGCTGTGCTTGACAAATATTAAATGCTGAATACATGTAGCTATTACTCTTGTTGTTGTCATTGTGATTGTGACAAACTACTTTCACATACATTTTCCTGCTTGATCTCTCTGAGTACCCTTTGGTATCACTGAAGGTATAAACAGAGAAGATAGTATTAAACCCAATTTATATTAGAGAAGATGAAAAATCAGAGAGCTTCTAAGGGACTTGCCCAAGGTCACAAGTGGCAGAGAAGAACAGGAACAGTTTATCTGTTAAACTTCAGTATGACAGATGACGAAGCCTCTTAGTCATCAGAAAACCCAATTCTGGATTTAACAAATAGAATACAAAACAATTTATGCTTCTTCACCATACAAAATTTCTCTGCAGAACTCTACTAAATAACAAATGCTTCTAACAACAAGGTCAATTTATAAGAACCATAGTTCCCTGTGGGGCACAGGAATACTAACTTCCCTACCTAACTGCATGTGGCATAAAAGCACAGGAGAACATTATCTCCCAGGTAGAGTAACAGGGTGAAGAGTACTTGGGCAGCTGACTATCCCTTTATACCAGGGATGACCTTGATTTGTGTTATGTCATAAGTAATAGGTTGTTTTACAATTTACAAAGACCTTTCAAATTGTGAAACTCAATTGAAGGAAAGGTTTGGATTTGACTGTCTATTCGGTATGTATTTTTAAAAGTAATTCTTGAATGAATTTTATAAGAGGGATCTTAAATATCAGGATACATGATTCAGAAATGTAGAAAAAGCTAAATTTGGTAACCAATGTGTTAAGAAAAAAAAAAGAGAGAAAAGAAAGATAAATTCATGTCAAATCTGCACTACTCTCTTACTCTCTGCTGGAGGAGTTTATTACCTTGTTTCCAGCCTGACTAATTATAGATTTTTTGATTACTATGTGAATACCATGCTCTGTGCTTACCGGGAAACAATGCGTAAGGTAAGCAAAAATGGTGCACTTTCAAAGTTGGGTAAGGAATGTGTGAGGAAAGACCTTGGGCCTATTGCAGAGCAGCTGTTAGAGTTTATATATGTCACAGATTTGTGGGCAGGGCATGTGGGACTTGTTCTATCATCTAGGACTAGTTCTGACAGGAAAGCACGTAGCAACTTCATCAAGGGAAGCTGGGTCATTAGAGAAAGAGGGACTATGAGAAAGTAGTTCTTATATGTGTTGTTGCAGATATATATGG